GCTCCAGCTGGGGGCCTGTACCCCCTAACTGCCCACCCCACAGCTGCCCACCCCATAACCACCTATCCCACAGCTGCCCACCCCATAACCACCTATCCCACAGCTGCCCACCCCATAGCTGCTACCCCACAACTGCCCACCCCCACAAATGCCCGTCCCCACTGTCCCATGTGTTTGCCACAATCGCTGTGGCACTGCCAGAGCAAACACAGACACTCCTCCATGGCTGAGTCACCCTAAGCTGTGTGACAATGACCAAGCCCTCCAGCCTGGCAAAAACCGCCCCAAACCGTGTCCCCAACCATGGGGATGTCCCCGTGCCAAGCCCCAGGCTGTGCCCAGGGAAGGGACAGGGACAGCCATAGGTGGGCACCCGGTGGCACGTGGATGGTGGGATGTCCCCATGGTGGCACGGGGGCGGCTCTCACCCACTCAGAGGACTCCAGGGGCTCGGGATTCCCTCTGGAGGCGGCAGGGCCAGGGCTGAGGTGGCGGCACAGGCACAGGGACACGGACGAGACCAGCAGGATGCCAACGTCGGGTGCCACCAGCCGCACCGAGTTGGGAATGTCACTCAAGTCCAGCCTGAAGGGGACATTGGGGCAGGGCAGGGCTCAGGGGTGACCCCAGCCCCTGCCAGCCCCACAGGGGAGGGTGCCCTTACCTGGTGACCCCAATGTGCCGAGCAAAGACCTCCCAGGAGCTGCCTGTGGGGAGGAGGGGGCACTGAGCACCCCCAGCCATGGCAGGAGGGGCTCTGTGCCCAGGGCAGTGGCACCCAGCATGGCACAGGTGAGGTGGCACATGGCTGGCACACCCTGCAGAGCCTCAGCAGCCCCAGGATGGGTCACACATGGCACCAGCTGGAGGGTGCACAGGAAGCAGGGCTGGGGGTGAGGGTGGGCACAGGCACCCCCTACTCACAGCTGGGCCCCAGCAGCTGGTCCAGGACGGGCAGTGTGTACAGGCAGATCTGGAAAACCAGGTGGGCGAGGAGGAAGAGGATGCTGATCCCCAGCAGAGCCTTGAGGATGCGGCTGCTGTGACCTGTGACACGGGCAAAGCTGTCACCCCCCAGCCAAGGACAGCAGGGACCCTCAGCAAGAGCTGCGAAGGGAGAACAGCGCCCAGAGATGCCAGGGCTGTGCCCCAGGGTCGGGATCCCAGCAGGGCTCTGCCCTCACCCAGCACAGCCCGAGAGCCAAAGGCCTGGCACCACCCTGGGGTGCAGCCACCATCCCCATCCCTGCTGGAACACCCCATGGGACAGCTCCAGGGTCCCCATTCCTGCTGGAACACCCCATGGGAGAGATCCAGGGTCCCCATTCCTGCTGGAACACCCCATGGGAGAGCTCCAGGGTCCCCATCCCTGCTGGAACATCCTGTGTGAGGGTTCCAGGGTCCCCATTCCTGCTGGAACACCCCATGGGAGGGCTCCAGGGTCCCCATTCCTGCTGCAACGCCCCATGGGAGAGATCCAGGGTCCCCATTCCTGCTGGAACACCCCATGGGAGGGCTCATGGGGTCCCCCCCCCTTCCAAACCCCCATCCCTCCCACCACCTGGCTCTGCCCCCATTCCCAGCCGGTTCCCCGGGCCCTGTGCCCGTTTTCCTGGCCAGGGGTGGGCTGGGCAGCGAGCCCACCACAGCTGTGAGCTTTCCCTCCTCTTGTTTTTTCCTGTAAATCCAGGCAAGGCTCTGGGCAGTGCCGGGATCCATCCAGGGCCGTGCAGCCCATGAAATATTCAGAGGGTGAAGCTTGGGTAAAGCTTTTATCTGTGGCCGTGCCAGGCGCTGGGGATGGGCACAGAGCCGGGCACAGGGGGGCTGGGGACACCTGCCCATGGGGTGGGGGGGACCCCTGAGGCCACCACACACCCCAGGCAGGGCGGAGGGGCTGCTCGTGGTGTGCCCACACAGCCCAGCCCTGAGGTTTTGGGTTAAAAAAGCTCCAAACCGGCCCTTGTGGAGCAGCAGGGCTATTAATAACCCCCCTGGGCTATAATTAACAGAGAGAGGCTCCACAGGAGCCACTGCCCAGGCGGGGGGAAACCACAGCCAAGGTGCCCACGGGAGGGGGGGCAGCTCCCCTGTGCCCACTGTCCCCCGTGCCACCCCCCTGTGCCCATCTCCCCATCCCCTGTGCCCCCTTACCTGTGGAAAAACGTGAGGAGGGCCCCGGGAACCAGGGCAGGAGCAGCAGGAAGAGCAGGTACACCAGGGACAGCACATTGTAGCGGAAAAGGCAGGCTGGGGACAGAGGGACAGGCTCAGTGACAGGGATGGGGCACAGGGAGGGCTCACAGGGGCACCTTCCCCACCATGGGGATCCCCTAAAGAGGGGCACCCCAAAATGCCAGATAAGGGGGTCAAGCCCCAAAAAAGTGCCATCAGAAAGAGGGGCACAGGCAGGACCTCAGGCTGTGCCACCCTGGGTGACAAGAAGAGGGGACACCACAAGCCCATACACGCGGGGTGACAGGGGAAGAAGAGCCAAGACAAAAATCTGCTGCATTTCCACATCATCCCCACCAAGGCAGGCTGAGCAGTGCAGGGACCCCCAGCCATGACCTCTGCAGGGCTGGCACAGCACCTGTCCCCTGTCCTGCTCTGGGTGTGCCACCAGCCCAGCACCTTCCCCCTCACTTATTTTTAGCCCTAAATTACAGCTTGTCTGCAGGCACGAAACTACCGGAGGAGCCAGCGCCCTGCGGGGACAGGGATGGGGACAGGGACGGGGACAGGGACGTGGGAAGGCACCTGCCACCCCGGCTGGGGACTCAGCATTCCTGTCACCACTGTGACAGTGACAGACACCAGCACATGCAGGGGCAGAGGCTGGGAGCAGCCAGGGCAGCAATGAGGGTGCAGGGATGGGCAGCACCAGGGGGACAGCCCAGATCAGAGCCTGGGGACAGGGGACACCCCTGGGACACCCTGGGATCAGTGCCCAGTTGGGGACAGGGCAATGGCCTGGGACACCCTGGGATCAGTGCCCAGGGTCAGGGCAGTGGCCTGGGACACCCCTGGGACATGTCCAGGATCAGTGCCCAGGGACCTGGCACTGGGCTGGGACAGCCCCGGGATCAGTGCCCAGCTGGGGACAGGGCCGTGAGCTTTGTCACCGTGCTGTCCCAGGAGCTGTCCCCATCCCCTGTGCTGCAGACCAGGGGGACACGTCCCACCAGCATGGGGGGATCCCTTTGGGACAGCCCCAGGGGACAGCTGTGGGTGACCCAGGGCAGGAGCTGCTCCCCTTGGCACCACAC